TTATTTAAAAAGGATGAATGAAACCAAAGGAAATTGAACTGAATGGGACGACTCAAATATGAACTACTGTGTTTGCATGAGCAACCTGCTCACTAGTTTTCTCATGCTCTTTGCTGCTTGGCCTCACACTGTCACTTTGGAATCCATACACACAGACTTGATTAAACATAACCTAGTTAAGCTCAGAGTCTGTCATGTGCAATGTGTGTGTGTGTGTGTGTGTGTGTGTGTGTGTGTTCGAGCAACAGAGAGGGAAAGATAGAGCCTGAAAGAAGGTGGGCCAAGTTAGTCAAGTTGTCAAGTCACTGGCTCCACCCCTTATTAGGATGACAGCTTGTAACCATGGAAACAGATGCTGGTATCATGTTAATTGGCTGAAATGATTCTGACAGTTCACCCTACTTTGAGTAGGTTCTCATGCTATCCATCGATGTCTAACTATCACCTCCTTACAGACGCATACACACACACACACTTCAACCCTATTAAGAAGCTGTTTAAGAAAAGGAAAACAGGAGGGATAAACAGGGAGCATGGGATCAATGCCGAACAGAAAGGGATGAAAAGAGCACAATAAGAGAAAGGAAGATACTTGCACAGGAGTGATGGAATCAGCTTTTCTCCTCTTTAAACAAAAGGAAATGCTCTGAATGTTTCATACACTGCTGAATAAGTTATGTCATTTGTGTGTGTGTGTGTGTGTGTGTGTGTGTGTGTGTGTGTGTGTGTGTGTGTTGGCGCGCGTGTCACATGTTACACTGAAAGAGTGGGATAACTGCCACATGGAAAGCTCAGCACTTGACAAAGTAGGCACCTTGCTCCACACATAAAATAACTCCCATCCCCTCCCATTGAAACAGGAATAAAATCCAATAGAATTCACTGGAGCTTGGAAAGGCTGCAAGATAATGTTATATAACGGGAAAAGCCAGTCTCCTTTTTGTTCCTAATAATTGGGGGAAGAGATGAACAGTATGTCGTAAACACGGTACAAAGGAGCATGCCTGCTTTCACAAAGAGGGAGGAAGTGGAAGGAAGGAGAAAGGAAATTAATTTGTAATATGTAGTTACTGAGTGGAAAAAAGAAGAAGCCAGAGAGGAAGGAGGGGTCACTTCAGGAAAAATGGGACTTTAGGCTCTTGGGGACTGCTCCCCGCCACTCCCCCCTCCCAGTGCGCTCACATTAATGTCCCTGACGAACAACGTCCACCCACATTACTTCTCCCGCAGATCATTCACAGTAACACACACACACACACACACACACACTGTAAGTGAAATGCAATGAAATATGTGCGGCATAAAAACAAAGCGGGACATTTTCCAGCAGCTCGACAGACTCGCAGAAGGACAGAGAAGCAGACAGAAACGCAAACTCGTATGAAAACAAATACAACAAGCGGAAGTAAAAAGGCCGTCAGGGCAGAGCTACGCTGTTACTAAGCAACCAGGTGATTCCTCTAAAGAGCCTCACCATGGGAGATTCCCTCGTTTGTGTGAGGGCATTTACACACTTGTGTGTGCGTGTGTGGGCGTGCACGCTGGAAAGCCTGTGTGTGTGTGTGTGATGATGATGAATGTGTGGTTTTTAAGCATGCCCAGTAAGTTAGTAACAGCCCAGCAGGTAACAGAGCTTCATTGGATTTGTAGTTTTTTCTTCTTCTTCTTTTCTTCTTGGTGTACATTTTATTTATTCAGCAATTATGTATTTATATTTTATGGAGTACACAGAGTGCTGACAGTGGCAAATACCCACAGACGTGTCCTGACAAGTGCATAACGACACACGGGCGCACAAAAAGTAGAACACACACACACACACATACACACACTCACATACACACAGACAGGCAAGCACACAAGGAGTCATAAGCTGTGGAAAATATTCAATTTGGAGAGCCTCAACAAATCCCTGAGGTGTTGCTGACGTTTATGCATGCTTCAGAGTATTCATAGCTGCTCACACACACTACAGCACTGATAAGCACACACCTATTCACGCTCACACCTTCACAGCAGAGCTGGGTAGAGGTTGAGGCTCAGAGTGAGAGACAGGGAGGGGAACGGGAGGTGAGACGATGAAGACAAAAGCAGTGGAAGCTTTGGGGGGTGACGTGAGTCTTCACTATTTGTGACTCCTGCTGCTGTATAAATGGAGGCCAGTAACAATGCAACTGACAGGCGACTGTAACCCTGGAGATTCATTAGGGCTTGTCACTATGGAAACCTCAAATCAGGAAAAAATGTTGGCCACCTTTCCCTACAACTAATTTGTCCAAGGAAATACCTGGGTACACACACACACACATACACACACACACGTACGCACAATACTGACCTTCTCCCCCTGTCCCCTGTGTTTAAACATAAAGTAAACATCTAGGAGCCTGTACAATGGCTCTGAGGAAGCACAGAGCTGAAACACAAACAGACAATCTTTGTCATATTATAAACGCAACCTGCTTGCACACAGGCGCGTGCGCTTCAGGTGCACCGGCTGCAGCGAAGGATATGGGTGGCAGACAGCTCGAAGGCACCAGGACCGCGGTGGGCTGGTTTGGGTCAAAGCCAAAAGAACCACTGGTGCTAGAGCGGGGTAGGGCAGCTCTTCCTTCTCCTTCTCTTCCTCGTCCTCCCCTTTCCATTCCCTTTCATCTCCCTCAACTGACACGCGCACCTTCTCCCCCTCCTCCTCCTCGTCCTCCTCCTCCTGCGTCGGTCCTCTGTGCTGCTCACGCAGGTCTGGCTCCTGGATGCCCGTCATGGCCGTGCTGTGAACAGCCCGAACCTGAAAGAGGGCGCAGGGGCACGGGCAAACTGTTCAGGACCCGGGAACACACCCTGCGACAAATTCCTGCAAAAATCCAGGAATCCTATACAGCAACGTAGGCACAGGCATGCTGGGATTTTTGCTTTAATGAGTGCAAAGATTTCTCAGAATACAGACTATTAATTTCAAAGCATTCACTTAACAGTGTGTTATTTTATTACAAAGCATTTTTGGGGAGGTTATTTTGTGTTGTGGATGTGTGATGCGGCTTGATTGTTTGTGTGGGGAAGAACAGAGTTACGGTTTGGTTAGCAATGGGCACGTTGACTGAATCTACTGTAGAGATTAATCACGTCCCCCCAGCCTACATCTGCTGGATAGCTGAGAAAATACTCGATATGCTCAATATAGCAGCATTCCTATGCAGTGAGGTACAAAAAGTAGCAAAAATACATTAAAGCTAATATCTTGTTATTGTTTTTTTTGTTTTTTTTTTAAAAAAGAAGCTTAATTTAAGGTTTGTGGTTAAGGACATGCAGCAGAGTTACTGTAAGGGCAAAAATGCATTTAACAGTATTTTTCCATAAAGCCTGTATTCCATACAAGAAAGTTTGTTTTTACACAGAAATCTGTTCATTCATGCAGATTACAATAGCTGAGAAATAACAAGTTGATTGTGGCAAAATCTGGCACCATAAAATTACTTTAAATTGAAAGTGGAAAGAATTACAGTGTCGGGATGGATGTGTGTGTACAGCGTGTTTGTTTCTGCTGTTTTGCCTTGCAGCTCCCAAAACAAACTGAGATCGTGTGGACCGTCACGCCTGCCACCCTGTCCACGAGCTGAGCAAGAAAGCAGGGGAAAGAAATCTGTCTGTGTTTCTCTGTGAAACAACACACCTTCACCAGAAGAATCGCAGCCAGCAATCCTGTGCAGGAAACATAAATCTACACAAATCTAAACAGAGTGAACTAATAGACATGAGCAGAGGTGCAAACAGGGTCAGCGTCGACAACAGGAAGCACTTAGACCTCTTCATAATAATCCTACAGCTGTACCGTTCGGTGATGACAACAGGCCATTACTGCTGATGCTTTTAATCCAGACTGGCTTTAAACAATCTGGGCATGCCGAGATGAAGTAGCTTAGACGGCTATTTCTTATTGTCATAAAGTGTGGTGCAGAGTACTGAAGCTGTCGGTGCTTTCGTTTCTTTTTGTCATTTACAATAAATTTTCAACTTATGATGATTACCGTTAATTAACTCCATGAGTTATATTTCCTTGAGCTATAATTTGGGATACAATCTGATGAAATGCAGGGACTTGGTCGAGCTACAGCTGCCTGCGTGCTGCCTTCAATTTATCAGAGCTCTGGAATATCATGTCAGAAATGCCAGACTGAATGATAATCTCAGTTTAAATACGATGGCAAGAGCCAAATTGATGTTTTGGCTTGAAACGTATGTATTTATTTTGTACAATTTCATGATATTTTTCAGCTTTGCCGGCCACCACACTGGGCAGCATTGGCAGGCAAAGATGGGAGCTGGAGCATGTGATACAGTACACATTGTCATGACTACACAGCAAACGCTGCCCACTGGTGCACAGCGAGCTCGTTCTATTGCTTATTGATCCCCAGAGATTCTGGCAAATCCATTTTAACAGTCCGTAAGTTGGGGCCGGAGCAGAGTTACTTGGACAGTGTGAAGAAGAATCAGAACAACAGAAGTCTGAGCCAACCGTGAGTCCGTGCAGGAATATATATTGTGCCTACAGTGTGGCAGGACAACGGGAGAGCTGGCTTGCAAGTTCAAAGCTTGGAGAGCAGTGAGTCTGTGTGTGTGCTTCTGATGAAAATAACGAGATTCAATCTGCCACTGTCATTATTTCCTGTGTATTCATTATGGGCACATAGCCTAGACAGTTTAAGGAGTCCAGGCACTTTATGGCATTTTGTTGTGACTCACTAGCTGTTGGGCGGACATCAATTAACCTCTGAAAAAAAGAACGAAAGAAATAGAAAGCAATTCTCCTGCACAGTTGAAAACCTGCTGATTAGTGCTTTCAAAACATTTTAAAAACTCATTATGAGCCTCCCTCGCTGACAGCCAAAGCCATGTGTGAATCCTTGCGAATCTCAATCAGTGACTAGAACCAAATATATTCACAGCTCTTTAAGACCTCTGAAACCCATTAACTCGGTTTTATACACAGCCTTTACGGCGGACTCATTACGTCTGCGTAAATTGAAAAGAAAAAAAAAAAACCTTTACCAGGAGTGTGTATCGTGTTTGACGAGAACACGACAAACAGCTGATCCCTGTACATCTCTAAATATAACATTTCTTTTCATTCAATGCAGGAATTTAAATCCTCGTGAAGGCCACCACGACATTAACGGTGCCACGGCGTTTCCCAGCATTGCTGTGACAGCAAACAAGCAGCAGTCTAATTAATCCGATAATAAACTGCAGAATCTATTAAAAACAAATATTTCCGTTATAGAATGATGCAACAAATCACAAAGGCCTGAGCACGATAAGGTCACTAACTCGGTTTATAGAGCCACACACACTTTATGACTGCTCCTCACCACGTTATTCACATCATTTTATTCTTTACCTTTTTTTTCTTTGCAAAAGACAACCCGCCATTGACAAAGAGCGACAACACAATAACTGGACATTTTTTCTTTCTTTTGTGCCACGGGCTTTCGCCCAGCGCAGAGCCCGGGACAACGCAGCGAAGGGGGGAAAAGTACATTATAGCAGCAAAAAGCGAAAAAAAACTTTGCCCGCTGTTCTTACCGGGGAGCAGCGTCCATCCACCAGCGTCACTCACTCCGGGTCCGCCGTGCGCCCGCAGCTCCAGGAGCCCCGGTGCTCCATCTGAGAGCAGCCCCGCTGGTCCTCTGCCTCCTCCCCCCGCCGAAATCCAAACTAACTCAGTCCTCCAGTAGGGAGGATGGGGGGAAAGGAAGGTGAGAAAACGGTGTGTGGCGCGCAAGTTTTAATAAATGGAGAAAGTAAAGTTATAAAGGAACCAGCTGTCCCCCCTGTGCGCCTGCGTCCCCTCAGCCTGTGGACGCGCTGTGCGGTGTCAGGTACTGGAGTTGAGGCGCACCGGGGAGAGGGAGAGCTGCGTTAAGCCAGACGCAGAGAGCCAGACCGGACGCGCAAGGTTTTTACCTTCAAAATAAGACGATCCGGTCCCGGAAGTTGTGCATCAAATCGTCTGAAAACTATCAAATGACGCGGAAAAAAAAGGCGAACTGCAAATTTTGATAGGAATCCCTGCTGGATACAGATCTCATTATTTAGAGGATTTAGCTCGTTTAAGGCTAGCTCTTCCTCAGTCTGCACAGTATAGTTTTCCATAAAGAAAAAGAAATTACAGAGTTGATAAATTACCAGTCATCCCAGTTAAACTTGCCTTTAATAAACCCATTAAAAGCACTTTGTTCACTTGACAAGCAGCTCTTCACTGCCACTCAGCTACACTTTCATTAAGGTCAACACAGACTGATAAACAGTGCTTACGATTTATAACAAACTATTTATTTTTTCCTTATTTTATTTATTTTAATTTTTTATTGTAAACCTAAACCGTCTTTTACATTTATCCTCATTACGTGCGAAGAAACCCACCACGATAAGCGCTTTAATGACGTGAGGCACAAATTTATTTTGAAAGCTTTGATTGGAGCGGCTCGTTCTTCATGTTGGAGAGCTTGATAGTGACAGAGCGAGTCATAGCATGTGACTTGTCCTCTCGATCTTCTCCGCCTGGCGGTACACAGTAGGTTTTTCCCAATACTCTTCCTCCTGCCTCTGCCTGGCGGCGACTCCGGACAGTGTGTGCGTGTTAGTGTGCGTGTGAGGGAGTGCGTGGGCGGGGTGTGCTGTCATGTATGAGATGATGCTCCACAGTCACACTCTGCAGGGGTGTCGACTCACTAAAACCAGAGAGTTCCGACACAATACCTTTAAATCAGCTTACAGGCGATGCTGTGTCAGGTTTCGGAGGACCACAGATTACTAACCACTCACACCACAGGCCGCTCCATGATATTTCCATGATGGTGGGCCATCATGAGCATTTACATTAAGAAAAATGCAGTTATGCCAGAATGTCATAATTCACCTGTTTAAGTCCCTCATTAACACCTAAAACACATAATTATGCAGAATAAGCGCTTTATTTAAGCCACGTGTTACACACAGTTATCAGTATTTGTATGTTGTAGATGGTGTTGGGGTAACTGGGGTATCTGACTATAAATGACTAAACTCTGGATGAAGGAGGAAGTAAAGCAAAGCCCCAGAAATACAGTTGCTGCCCACTTTAATAGGTACGTGTTAATATTGGCTTGTACCCCTTTTCCTGTCACAAACAGCCTTACTTCTTTATGGCACAGATTCAACACGGTGCTGGAAACGTTCCTCAAATGTTTTGGTTTATATTGACATGAAAGTATCACACAGTTCTTGTAGATTGTCGGCTGCACATCCATGATACGAATCTCTCATTTTACCACATGCCAAATGTGCTCTGAGATCTGGTGACTCTGGATTTAAGTCCAGTGAAATCATTGCCACGTTCAAGACGCGGGTTTGAGATGATCTGGGTTTTGTGACGTGTATCGTCCATCTGGAGGAAACCGTGAGAAGATGGGTACGCTATGGGGGTAAAGGGGCGGACATGGTCAGCAACAACACTCAGGTAGGCTGTAATGTTTAAGCAATGCTCGGTTGGTACTAAGGGGCTCAAAGTGTGGCACGAAAGCAGCCTGATCCGTTGATATAAGATGGATCCATCATTTTGGGATGTTTATAGCAAATTCTGACTTTGACATCCAAATGTTGCAGCAGAAATATAGATTCATCAGACTAGATAATGTTTTTTCAGTCATCTATTGTCCAATTTTGGACTTGAAACTATTTATTGAGACCATAAACGCATCAGTAAAGTGTTTTCAGAAGTCATCAATAACCAGAGCTAAAGCCTTGTTTTGTCACTGACTTCTGTCAGACCTCTTTTTCTAACTATTTGGCCATTAGAAAAACAAGAGGGATAATAAAGGCAGTTGCGTTCTGGTGTCAGTTATCAGACCCAGAGGCTTGTTCGCAAGGGAAATACAAACAAAAGACATGTTATGTAGCTCATCAGAGAGTGTCCAGACACAGTAAAACATTTTCTTTTCATAGCATAAAACTGTTTGTTATCTCTAACGCAAAGGAAATGATGTCGCTGAAGCACTCGATCTCAGAGCTGAATGTACTTGAACTACCTTACAATCTTAAAAGCAGCTGCCTGCAGCTTTGAAAAAAAGGCCAAAGCAATGAGTAATCTGTGAAATTCCTTATTTATATGTAATAAAATAAAGATATAAAGTGGCATGAAGTGGAGGCATCAAGTAGTGCAAAAAAAAGTCTATTTTTGTATACAACCTACTTTTTTTTGTACTTTGCAGCAATACCTGTGAATCCAGTTTCCATAACTGAAATGAATTTTTTTGTTTTAAAGCCAACTCGTTTGCAGTGTAGTCACACTACAGGAGGTAAGAACAAGTGATGTGATGCAGGCGGGGGAAAAGTAAACACCCCTAAATGTTATAAATAGCACTGAAACTGAACCAGGGCTAATTTTTTCTGGGGGTGCTCTGCAATTCCCCAAAGGCCCCCTGGCGGTCCCTGAATTACACTTTGGGAGTTGATATTGGAGCTGAAGTAGGCTGTACAGTAGCAAACAGCTTCTAGGGAGCACTAGACTTAAATGCTCTCCTGCTAATATTTTAATATCTACATGCGGCCTCCAAATAATTTTTTGGGGGATGTTTTGTTTGATGTTTACACTTCATTAGACAGGAAACAAGAGTCCCTGGGTGGTGACTGTGAGGGGCTACATGCTCATTAAATACTAAAAAAAAAAATTTGGATGGATTAAAAATAGACATTATGTTAATCTTAGGTCTTATTAGCGGCGGGGAGTTTTAACTGTGGCGTGCTGGTGGAAAACCCATGCTGCTGTTGCTTAAATGAGAAGGATTTAGGCTCTGTGTAGTAGTCATTCAGTGACATCTCAGCAGAAGAGTATTTGTCAGAATGTCCAGACTGAAAGCAAAGCAGATTTGAGTGGACTCATGAGAGCATGTGAACTCAACTTGAGCGAGAAAAGCAAACTTCTCTCTGTGAATGAGCAGATATAAGATGTAAGAAAAGGGAGAGCGACTTGAAAAGTCTGTCAACAGAAAGTGCAGTACAAACTGCAAGAAATATATACCAGCACTTAAACGTGTCCATAACCTGGGAGTTAAGAATCTGCATTTCTCAGTTTTTCTGTGTTTGTGTGTTTGTGTTTGATCCAGAGAAAAAAGCTGCACTATGAATAGTTTTTGCTGGACCACTGTCACCGGGGATTTCTGCTTCAGCAGGAAATCTACACAGCAGCTACGTCAAAATCCCAAACCACTCAGAAACCCTATGTTTTAACATACAGAACAACCCGACGTGCACCTCTGTAGAAATGTAACAGCACGTGGTGTTGATGCAGCCCACAACTCGCGATTGGCTTGTTCAGTATCGCCGTGCATTCCCGGCTACTTTTTTTGCCACAGCATTTGAATTCACCGGTGAGAGAAAGATCATCGCCTCAATATTATACTACACTGATCATACGGTTACATTGTAACCTTGGTTCTCTGAGAAAGAACAATAACTAATGTACTATATGTTTGCTCCCAAACTCCTCTTAGCCTGAACTACCTGGGGGACCAAGACTTGTAAATTCTATATGATGATGGATTCAAATATTTACTTCAAATAAACAGAACCGTTTCTTTTTCTGCATATTAATATGTAGAAACTGTATGATTGAGGCCAGTTCATGAACATATGCAGTTTTTACATCAAACTTAATCTTTATGCATAAAACATGTACCTTTTAATGGTCAACAGAAGGTTTAAGTTTTAATAATTTGCAAGTTTTGATTTCTTATCTAGCACATCATCATTACTACTCTACACCATTAACTGATGGTGAAAGATGGTTACAACAGAAAGTTGTGAATCTTTCTGGACATTTGCACCCTATGTCTAAAGAACTATAATCGCCATAAAAGGAGTCAGTCATTTCTGTCTTAATTTATGTATTTACATTTGAAAGCCATTATTACTGATGGGAGGATTATATCAGTTCAAATCAGGTTCAAAGTTAATATGTTACCAATTTTTCCCATAGGCCTTTTTGTTTGTTTGTTTGTTTGTTTTTCCCCACTACGGCTCAAACCCTGGATTTGTTCACATACGTACAGTAATATATATTTTGTAATCTCTCAAGCCATTATTAAAAGCCATTATTACTGATGTGAGGATTAAAGTGTCTGACCTGTTTAGGCCTTTCCTCTTTTAGTGACCATGTAAATGCGTAAATGTTAATTTGCACTGCTCAAAATTATATATGTTATATTAAATATATACAACATTAAATATGTTTTCTTTAAAATTTCCAACTCTATCTGTTGCAGATTTCATACAGACCTTTCAAAAACAAGTGTGCTTTTGCCAGTAAGGAATCATAATCATAGCATCAGTGTAAGGACTAACAAATGTCAGCAATGGAGATTGCGGAAACTATCAGAATGGATGTGAGTGAATGGATGAAGAAGTGGAAAAACTCCAGGGACAGATATGTTTGCCATAAACAAGCTGGGGATCCAGGAGGGAAAACATCCTAATTAGTTCCTATTGGCTGGCACCACATATAAAACGCCGGAACATGGTAATTAACACATAATGCACCAGCACAAGCATAAATGTCGGCAATGACGTTACACATTTACGTAGGTTACACGGTAGGCTTTACTAAGATTCACCACAAAACTCTAAATCAGGCCTTAGATATCAGCCTCTGTTTATAGTCATTTTCTTCTGGGCCTGTATTTACGCCTCAGCTGTACTTATGCTAAGGCTGATTGTAGATGTGATATATTATTTAACTCCCGAATGCATATCTGAGTGTGTCATCATCATCAGAGAACTGAAGTGACAGCATGTGCATGGAGCCAAAGTGACTCACTAGATGT